TATATATATACACATACACACACACACACATACATACATATATACATATACACACATTCACATATTTTTCAACTGTACTGTGATGTCTTACAAAAGTTCTGAACCCTTCTATTCTCATTGTTTCTACAGATTGTGAATTGAAAATAAACATTTTTGCTAATAGTATTATTATGTTATTGATCGATTGACTATGACTTTTCAGATCACCCAGTAGTGCTATCTGCAGGGTTAGCTCCAGGTAAATATTGCAATCCTTCAGCCATTCCTGGACCTGTGTCCAAAAACAACCTTCTATACTAGTCATTTTAAGCCATGCATGGTTTTTGATTGGCGGCAGACAAACACATTCATTCCTTTCTCTTTTGAGTAATTGCCTCTTCCATTTTTGTGGCAGAGTATTACCTTCATTACAAACACTGAGGGGAAGCAGATCCTAGATCTGTACCTAGGTGAAACTTCATACTGGAGCCACTGGAATCTGGTTGGTTAGAGCAACAACAGCCACATTCCCTGTTAAATCTAATTTGGTTACTTATCATACAAATTGTTAAAGCTGAACCAAATTCTATATTCGATATTAGTCTTGTGGTGTCGAAGTACCTTCCATTCGTTCCTTCCACCATTTTCTATTGCCTTGTAAAGAAACAGAATGAAACGTGTGGCCAGTTCTATGCTGCTCCGCTACTCCCCCTCTGTCTCTTTGTTCCCTGGTGTGTCTGAAGAGTCAGGATGCGTCATGAATGGCACCCTATTCTCTGTATAGTGCACTACCCTATGGGCTCTCATCAAAAGTAGTGCACTATATATTTGGAATAGGGTACCATTTGGGACACTGGTTGTGTGTCCAACAGATAAGACAGACAGAAAACAGTAAGAACAGTACTTCCTATTTTTTATTTTCTTATCAACATTCAAACAACTCGGTTCCCCTCCCTGTCAATGGAGGAAGGGAGGGAGGGAGGGAGGGAGGGAGGGAGGCAGACAAGAGATGAGGCTAAGGACATTGTAGACTATTGACCCCCGATGGGCCAGGTTGGAAAACAGGCACATTCAGTTTCCTTTTTACTTCTCTTGGAAGTTTCTAGAACTCTTGAAAGGTTCTAGAACTCTTGGAAGGCTCTGGAACCACCTCCACCTCATAATAAACCAGTCACCGAGGAGATCTAGGACCTTTATCAACCTGAGAGTATCATGATTGTCACCAGGTCTCTTGGTCTCGCTGAGAACTGAACTGAAAAAACAGTCCTACAGTGGGGAAAAAAAGTATTTAGTCAGCCACCAATTGTGCAAGTTCTCCCACTTTAAAAAAATGATTATGGTGGAAAATAAGTATTTGGTCAATAACAAAAGTTTCTCAATACTTTGTTATATACCCTTTGTTGGCAATGACACAGGTCAAATGTTTTCTGTAAGTCTTCACAAGGTTTTCACACACTGTTGCTGGTATTTTGGCCCATTCCTCCATGCAGATCTCCTCTAGAGCAGTGATGTTTTGGGGCTGTCGCTGGGCAACACAGACTTTCAACTCCCTCCAAAGATTTTCTATGGGGTTGAGATCTGGAGACTGGCTAGGCCACTCCAGGACCTTGAAATGCTTCTTACGAAGCCACTCCTTCGTTGCCCGGGCAGTGTGTTTGGGATCATTGTCATGCTGAAAGACCCAGCCACGTTTCATCTTCAATGCCCTTGCTGATGGAAGGAGGTTTTCACTCAAAATCTCACGATACATGGCCCCATTCATTCTTTCCTTTACACGGATCAGTCGTCCTGGTCTCTTTGCAGAAAAACAGCCCCAAAGCATGATGTTTCCACCCCCATGCTTCACAGTAGGTATGGTGTTCTTTGGATGCAACTCAGCATTCTTTGTCCTCCAAACACGACGAGTTGAGTTTTTACCAAAAAGTTCTATTTTGGTTTCATCTGACCATATGACATTCTCCCAATCCTCTTCTGGATCATCCAAATGCACTCTAGCAAACTTCAGACGGGCCTGGACATGTACTGGCTTAAGCAGGGGGACACGTCTGGCACTGCAGGATTTGAGTCCCTGGCGGCGTAGTGTGTTACTGATGGTAGGCTTTGTTACTTTGGTCCCAGCTCTCTGCAGGTCATTCACTAGGTCCCCCCGTGTGGTTCTGGGATTTTTGCTCACCGTTCTTGTGATCATTTTGACCCCACAGGGTGAGATCTTGCGTGGAGCCCCAGACCGAGGCAGATTATCAGTGGTCTTGTATGTCTTCCATTTCCTAATAATTGCTCCCACAGTTGATTTCTTCAAACCAAGCTGCTTACCTATTGCAGATTCAGTCTTCCCAGCCTGGTGCAGGTCTACAATTTTGTTTCTGGTGTCCTTTGACAGCTCTTTGGTCTTGGCCATAGTGGAGTTTGGAGTGTGACTGTTTGAGGTTGTGGACAGGTGTCTTTTATACTGATAACAAGTTCAAACAGGTGCCATTAATACAGGTAACGAGTGGAGGACAGAGGAGCCCCTTAAAGAAGAAGTTACAGGTCTGTGAGAGCCAGATATCTTGCTTGTTTGTAAGTGACCAAATACTTATTTTCCACCATAATTTGCAAATAAATTCATTAAAAATCCTACAATGTGATTTTCTGGATTTTTTTTTCTAAATTTGTCTGTCATAGTTGACGTGTACCTATGATGAAAATTACAGGCCTCTCTCATTTTTTTAAGTGGGAGAACTTGCACAATTGGTGGCTGACTAAATACTTTTTTTCCCCACTGTATCATTGTGGAACAAGCTCCCTCACGACGCCAGGACAGCGGAGTCACTCACCACCTTCCGGAGACATTTGAAACCCCACCTCTTTAAGGAATACCTGGGATAGGCTAAAGTATTCCTTCTAACCCCCCCCCCCCCCCCCCCAATTGTAAAGTGGTTATCCCACTGGCTATAGGGTGAACGCACCAATTTGTGAGTCGCTCTGGCTAAGAGCGTCTGCTAAATGACGTTAATGTGCCCTTGAGCAAGGCACTTAACCCTAATTGCTCCTGTAAGTCGCTCTGGTTAAGAGCGTCTGCTAAATGACTAAAATGTAAATGTAAATGTAATTGTTTGTTTATTACACACAATACATAAAAATACATTTCTGATATAAAGCCCCAATATGACAAAATACAGACTACTTATTTTCTGTCCAGGCAAGATGCAGATGGCTACTACCACTGTCACAGATAAACATGAACGGGGCATTCAACAATCTTTAGGTTTAGATTTTTTTCTCTGAGATTAATGAGAGTCTCTGTTGTTTAGAACAGTTCACTTCAAACCACTGGCTGTGGGGTGGCCATTTTGTCTGCTCCCTACGAGGAGAGAGAAGGGAGAGGAGTGGCGGGGCCATGCGTCCGCTGTCCTGTCATGCCTTAGAGGTTACAGGGTCAGAGGTTACAGGGTCAGAGGTTACAGGGTCAGAGGTTACAGGGTGGTAGTAGTAAACATATCTAACTATATCCTGAATAAACATCGCTACAGAAGTCTCTTTGTTACCCTACAACCTCTGCTTGCTATTTTCTTTATCAACTACAAAGCTGCATAGCAAAAGTCATTTTTGTCTTACAGGAGGAACATTTTAGCAGACATGTTTTTCTGCCATATGATTAGAAAAGGATCAGTTGGGAGTTTGTGCAGCAGGATGCTGGTGGTTCTGATCTGAAGGGGTCTGGTGTTGATGGTTGTATGCTGGTTATTGTAGGGCTGTAGTTATGCTGGTCTGTTGGTTGGAGGACTCTAGCTGGTCTGTTGGTAGGGGACTCTAGCTGGTCTGTTGGTAGGGGACTCTAGCTGGTCTGTTGGTAGGGGACTCTAGCTGGTCTGTTGGTAGGGGACTCTAGCTGGTCTGTTGGTAGGGGACTCTACCTGGTCTGTTGGTAGGGGACTCTAGCTGGTCTGTTGGTAGGGGACTCTAGCTGGTCTGTTGGTAGGGGACTCTAGTTATGGTGGTCTGATGGTAGGGGACTCTAGCTGGTCTGTTGGTAGGGGACTCTAGCTGGTCTGTTGGTAGGGGACTCTAGCTGGTCTGTTGGTAGGGGACTCTAGCTGGTCTGCTGGTAGGGGACTCTAGCTGGTCTGTTGGTAGGGGACTCTAGCTGGTCTGTTGGTAGGGGACTCTAGCTGGTCTGTTGGTAGGGAACTCTAGCTGGTCTGCTGGTAGGGGACTCTAGCTGGTCTGTTGGTAGGGGACTCTAGCTGGTCTGTTGGTAGGGGACTCTAGCTGGTCTGCTGGTAGGGGACTCTAGCTGGTCTGTTGGTAGGGGACTCTAGCTTGGTTCTGCTGGTAGGGGACTCTAGCTGGTTGTTGGTAGGGGACTCTAGCTGGTCTGTTGGTAGGGGAATCTAGCTGGTCTGTTGGTAGGGGACTCTAGCTGGTCTGCTGGTAGGGGACCTAGCTGGTCTGTTGGTAGGGGACTCTAGCTGGTCTGTGGTAGGGACTCTACCTGGTCTGTGGTAGGGGACTCTAGCTGGTCTGTTGGTAGGGGACTCTAGCTGGTCTGTTGGTAGGGGACTCTAGTTATGGTGGTCTGGATGGTAGGGGACTCTAGCTGGTCTGTTGGTAGGGGACTCTAGTTATGGTGGTCTGATGGTAGGGGGACTCTAGCTGGGTCTGTTGGTAGGGGACTCTAGTTTATGGTGGTCTGATGGTAGGGGGACTCTAGCTGGTCTGTTGGTAGGGGACTCTAGTCTGGTCCTGTTGGTAGGGACTCTAGCTGGTCTGTTGGTAGGGGACTCTAGTTATGGTGGTCTGATGGTAGGGGACTCTAGCTGGTCTGTTGGTAGGGGACTCTAGTTATGGTGGTCTGATGGTAGGGGACTCTAGCTGGTCTGTTGGTAGGGGACTCTAGCTGGTCTGTTGGTAGGGGACTCTAGCTGGTCTGTTGGTAGGGGACTCTAGCTGGTCTGTTGGTAGGGAACTCTAGGTGGTCTGTTGGTAGGGGACTCTAGTTATGGTGGTCTGATGGTGGGTTCCTGTGGGGGTTGGAGGCTCTAGGTCTTCTCCAGTTGTTGAGGGAGGGGGAGGCAGGGGGGCTGACTGGAGGAAGACAGGGTACTGGTCCCTCTGGAGATCCTCTGCTCCTGCTGTTCCAGGGTCAGGGAAGAAAGGCTGAGGGAAGCCCCGGTAAGAGGCGTGCTGAGTGGGGACAAGGTAAAGTTGGGCCCTGCCCCGGGGCTCTTCAGGCTGAGCTCCTGGTTGCTCGTGGGGAGGAGGGGTTTGAGGTTTAGTTCCTGGGTTGTCGTGGAGAGGAGGGGCTTGAGGATGCTGACGAGGCAGAAGGCCGAGCCACTGTTGGGGATGAAGTTGACCTTGTTCCTGTCTGGACCTGTGAGGAACTGAGGGACCTGCTGGGGAGGCTTGGACCTCAGGAGAGGACAAGGGACCTGCTGGGGAGGCTTGGACCTGAGGGGAGGGGAAAGGAGAGGAGAGGAGGGGAGAGGAGAGGAAAAGAGGGGAGAGGAGAAGAGAGGAGGGGAGAGGAGAGGAGGGGGACAACCACGAACACACAGAGAGAACAGAAGTGTCACTAAACATAACAGCCCATTCTGACTCAGCTAGTCTGGGGTCATTGACTGAACTATCATCATCATCATCATCATCTCAAGGCTCTGCAGGCTCAGCCACTAAGAGAGAGATAAAGGCAGAACAAGAAGAGAAGGATGGCGTTAAGAAACAACAACATGAGCATTGATATCAGGAGGAGTAAAAAGTACTGACTGTGTTTTCTCAGTGAAGACCTTGACTCTCTCACAGCCCTCAGGAGGCTCTCGTTTGAACATGTAGCTGTTGTTGGGTTTGGGAGAGGAGGCGTATTTAGGGAGTGGGGAGCTGGGCCCGAGGTCTGGGAAAAGAACAACCTGTAATTATTATTATGAGTAATTATAACACACACGATCAGTTATCAGCCTGGGAGGCACAGTGTTTTTCCACAAGCACGTGGAGTAGCCAGCCCAATAAAAAAGCTAGCCAGCCAGGTTCCCCCGGGGCGGCTGGCTACTCCAGACATTTTTACCAAAAAAGCTCTATTTTGATGGCCTCTGGTACATTTGAATGCCTTGATTGTGGTCCTCTGTAGCTCAGCTGGTAGAGCACGGCGCTTGTAACGCCCAGGGTAGTGGGTTCGATCCCCGGGACCACCCATACGTAAAAATGTATGCACACACGACTGTAAGTCGCTTTGGATAAAAGCCTCTGCTAAATGGCATATTATTGATTCCATCTGAAATACACAGCAAAATTATAGAAAAATGTATTAAGTGTACCTCCAAGATTGGAAAAATGAGTTGTGGTATTGTGTTAACAATTTATATTACTGAAAATATATGAATTCCCTGTATTGTTAGTTGTTTTGGATATCATCTAGCCCTTTATGATTAGGACTATTTTCAAAGTAAGAGAAAATCAAAACTTTTAAAAAACATTTAACCTGTCTTTTCTTAAAGATTCAAGTATTTTACTGCAAGATATGAATTGCCATGAATTATGTATTTGATTAAAACAGAAAAAATAAGTAAAAAGGCCAAATTATCTTGACAAATTCATTAAAGGTTCAATTTTAAATCAAACAAATTGTAGGATTGGCACTTTTGCAAATGACAAAATGGGTCTCTAAAATAAAACAGAACAGAATTAAGTTCTGAGTCCATACGTGTTAAGAGAACAGATAGAGCGACATCAGTTAAATTACTGAAAGAATTTCAACAAGTGTTTGCAACTCTTTGTGAATTACAGTATGTCATTTATTAAAACAAATATTTGTTTAGCAAATGACCATGGAAGAACTGGGACATTTTCAGCTTCCAGGAATTGTGTACAGATCATTGCGACATGGGGCCGTGCAGGTGAAGAAGCCGGATGTGGAGGCCTGGGCTGGCGTGGTTACAAATGATCTGCGGTTGTGAGGCATGTTAGACGTCCTGCCAAATACTCTAAAACGACGTTGGAGGCGGCTTATCGTAGAGAAATTAACATTAAATTCTCTGGCAACAGCTCTGGTGGACATTCCTGCAGTCAGCATGCCAATTGCACACTCCCTCAAAACTTGAGACATCTGTGGCATTGTGTTGACTCTAGCTGGTCTGTTGGTAGGGGACTCTAGGTGGTCTGTTGGTAGGGGACTCTAGTTATGGTGGTCTGATGGTTGGAGGACTCTAGCTGGTCTGTTGGTAGGGGACTCTAGCTGGTCTGTTGGTAGGGGACTCTAGCTGGTCTGTTGGTAGGGGACTCTAGCTGGTCTGTTGGTAGGGGACTCTAGCTGGTCTGTTGGTAGGGGACTCTAGCTGGTCTGTTGGTAGGGGACTCTAGCTGGTCTGTTGGTAGGGGACTCTAGCTGGTCTGTTGGTAGGGGACTCTAGCTGGTCTGTTGGTAGGGGACTCTAGCTGGTCTGTTGGTAGGGGACTCTAGCTGGTCTGTTGGTAGGGGACTCTAGCTGGTCTGTTGGTAGGGGACTCTAGCTGGTCTGTTGGTAGGGGACTCTAGCTGGTCTGTTTGGTAGGGGACTCTAGCTGGTCTGTTGGTAGGGGACTCTAGCTGGTCTGTTGGTAGGGGACTCTAGCTGGTCTGTTGGTAGGGGACTCTAGCTGGTCTGTTGGTAGGGGACTCTAGCTGGTCTGTTGGTAGGGGACTCTAGCTGGTCTGTTGGTAGGGGACTCTAGCTGGTCTGTTGGTAGGGGACTCTAGTTATGGTGGTCTGTTGGTAGGGGACTCTAGCTGGTCTGTTGGTAGGGGACTCTAGCTGGTCTGCTGGTAGGGGACTCTAGCTGGTCTGTTGGTAGGGGACTCTAGCTGGTCTGTTGGTAGGGGACTCTAGCTGGTCTGTTGGTAGGGACTCTAGCTCTAGCATTGTGTTGTGTGACAAAACTGCACATTTTAGAGTTGCCTTTTGAGAGAAATACGTTTTTTGTGCATATGAAAAATGTCTGGGATCTTTCATTTCAGCTCATGAAACCAACACTGTACATGTTGTGTTAATTTTTCAGTATAAATAAAACATGGATTGATTGATCGGTAGGTAGGGAGAGAGGGTCTCTGTTATGTGTCTGTGGTTCTCGAGGGCAGTCCTCACCTTTTTCTCTGTAGTCTGTTAGCAGCTCATCACTACTAGGCCAGGGGCTCTCTCCCCCTCCGTCTCTCCCTCTCTCCCCCGTCGTCTCCGTGTCGGTGGGGACAGTCAGGAAGGAGGGGGAGACGGAATCTGAGCGGCTGCTGTTACTGTGGTTACTGACCACGACACCTCCGCTGGCCCCTCCCCCACCCTGGGGTGTCTGTGTGTTGATGCTGCGGAAGGCGGAGCTACTGCAGCACCGTGATATGATTGGGGAGGAGGGGCGTTGGGACAGTGGTGGGGGGGCACGGCGTCCGTCGGGGACATCGTGGGGGCGCAGCTCGTCCCAGATGATGATTCTCTCTATTTCCTGGTTCAGCCCCTCCACACTGTTCCGGAACCGAGACACGGAGGACTTGGAGATGGGAATCAGGACAGTCTTTGGGATTGGGGCCTAGAGAGAGCGAGAGAGAGAGAGAGAGACAGAGGAAAGTGTTGGTGGTTCAGGAGTGGAAGCCATGCAACTCCAAAGGGCTTGACAAGGGCCAAGGTGTACAGGAGGACCTGAATCACATAACAGAAAGCAAGACCTTGTCCTCTTCTCTTGCAGTCTCTCTACCTCTCTTCCTCCTTCATCCCCCTCCTCTCCTCCCCGCCTAACCTCTATTTCTTGTGTGGGAACAATATTGAGGCATTCTGAGGATGTGGCCCTTAAATCAGGCCAGACCTGCTCTGCTCTGCTCTGGACATTAGCATCTTAACCAGGCCAGACATGCTCTGCTCTGGGCTGGACATTAGCATCTTAACCAGGCCAGACATGCTCTGCTCTGGGCTGGACATTAGCATCTTACCCAGGCCAGACCTGCTCTGCTCTGGGCTGGACATTAGCATCTTAATCAGGCCAGACCTGCTCTGCTCTGGGCTGGACATTAGCATCTCAATAACCACTTATACTTTAGCACTCAACATGAAACAATGGAGCAACAACACAGCACTGCCTAACTAGTCCTGCTGCTCTGTGTGTGTGTGTGTGTGTGTGTGTGTGTGTGTGTGTGTCTGTGTGTGTGTGTGTGTCCTGTGTGTGTGTGTGTGTGTGTGTCCTGTGTGTGTGTGTGTGTGTCCTGTGTGTGTGTGTGTGTGTGTGTGTGTGTGTGTGTGTGTCCTGTGTGTGTGTGTGTGTCCTGTGTGTGTGTGTGTGTGTGTGTGTGTGTGTGTGTGTGTGTGTGTGTGTGTGTGTGTGTGTGTGTGTGTGTGTGTATTGTAGACTTGTCGTCAACCACACACTCATACCTTGTGAATGTAAATAATTTACTCACACAAATACCACTCATAGACAGTGTCCCACACAGACATATGTTCAATCAACAACACCAATGAGAAGGTACTTAACAACAGAGTAATGAAAACCCAACTCTGAGGTCTTGTGACCTTTGGGGTCAACAGCATCTCAACTGGAGGAGATAAATTAGCCATGCTAGGAGGCTGTACAGTCAGTCCCATCCAGCCCAGTGTCTCTGGGGAGGCATCCTACCTACACCCTCTGTAGTACACTATGATGCACCCTACCTAGTGTAGTACACTACTTTTTCCCAGAGCCCATTGGGCAGGAAACAAAGAAGAGGGAGGATAGAGGTCATCACCCCCACTCCCCTCCTCACAACAAACCCCCACTCCCCTCCTCACAACAATCTCCCACTCCCCTCCTCACAACAATCCCCCACTCCCCCCCTCACAACAATCCCCCACTCCCCCCCTCACAACAATCCCCCACTCCCCCCCTCACAACAAACCCCCACTCCCCTCCTCACAACAAACCCCCACTCCCCCCCTCACAACAATCCCCCACTCCCCTCCTCACAACAAACCCCCACTCCCCTCCTCACAACAAACCCCCACTCCCCTCCTCACAACAAACCCCCACTCCCCTCCTCACAACAAACCCCCACTCCCCCCCTCACAACAAACCCCCACTCCCCTCCTCACAACAATAGGAATGACTAAAGAGAAAACATGAAGGGACTCTGTTTTTCTGTTGTTTAGGCCAGTCCACTTAAAACCACTGGCTGAGTGGCAGACATTTTGTCTGCTAGCTTACCGTCACAGAAGCGAATCTATAAACTATAGTACAGAACTTTAAGAGTAGCAAATATTTACCAATTGTAACGGAAGATGGCGCTGCAGTGGATAGCAGCCGTCTTACAGGCTCCTGACCAGTTCTGCAATTTTTCCCCAAAAAATTTACACTGATCGTAAAAAATGTTGTACATAATGTCTCCGCCATCATTTCCTATTACCGAAAACAGCTTCTGGACATCAGAACAGCGACCACTAACCTTAGTTTGGATGAAAATGTCTACGTCAACGAGTCGACAGCTCTGGACATTCCGCGAAAGAGAGGCAGGCGAGCCAGCACTCTGACGAGGCTAAATCAGCGAGTAGACCGCCATGGCCCTCTGTTCTATTGGCGAACGTGAAATCACTGGAGAACAAACTTGATGTGCTCTGTTCGAAGCTATCCTATCAACAGGACCTGAAGAACTGGAATATTCTCAGAGTCGTGGCTGAAGGCGTACACGGATATACTGTACATCTCGCTGGTTTTTGTCTATGCATAGTCAAGACCAGAATCTGGTAAGACGAAGGGAGGAGGGGTGTGTCTTTTTGTTAACAACAGTTGGTTTGCGGTTCTCTATTGTTAAGGAAGTCTGGAGTTGTTGCTCGCCTGAGTTAGAATACCTCATGATAAGCTACAGACCATAATACACTGAACTAAAATATAAACGTAAAGTGTTGGTCCCATGTTTCATTAGCTGAAATAAAAGATCCCAGAAATTTTCCATACGCACAAAAAAGTTTATTTCTCTCAAAATGTCTGCACAGATTTGTTTACATCCCTGTTAGTGAGCATTTCTACTTTGCCAAGATAATCCATCCACCTGACAGGTGTGGCATATCAAGAAGCTGATTAAACAGCATGATCATTACACAGGTGCACCTTGTGCTGGGGACAATAAAAGGCCACTCTAAAATGTGCAGTTTTGTAACACAAGGAGCAGACGCTCTTATCCAGAGTGAGTTACAGTAGTGAGTGCATACATTTTCATACTGGTCCCCCGTGGTATGTGAACCCACAACCCTGGCGTTGCAAGCGCCATGCTCTACCAACTGAGCCACACGGGAGATAGATGTCTCAAGTTTTGAGGGAGCGTGCAATTGGCATGCTGACTGCAGGAATGTCCACCAGAGCTGTTGTCAGAGAATTTAATGTTCATTTCTCTACCATAAGCCAACGTCGTTTTAGAGAATTTGGCAGTGCATCCAACCGGCCTCACAACCGCTACCCATGTGTATGGCATCGTGTGGGTGAGCGGTTTGCTGATGTCAGCGTTGTGAACAGAGTGCCCAATGGTGCGGTGGGGTTATGGTATGGGCAGGCATAAGCTATGGACAACGAACACAATTGCATTTTAACAATGGCAATTTGAATGCACAGAGATACTGTGACGAGGTCCTGAGGCCCATTGTAGTGCCATTCATCCATCGCCATCACCTCATGTTTCAGCATGATAATGCACGGCCCCATGTCGCAAGGATCTGTACACAAATCCTGGAAGCTGAAAATGTCCCAGTTCTTCCATGGCCTGTATACTCACCAGACATGTCACCCATTGAGCATGTTTGGGATGCTCTGGCTCGATGTGTACAACAGCGTGTTCCAGTTCCCAACAATATCCAACAACTTCGCACCGCCATTGAAGAGTGGGACAACATTCCACAGGCCACAATCAACAGCCTGATCAACTCTATGCGAAGGAGATGTGTCGCGCTGCATGAGGAAAATGGTGGTCACACCAGATACTGACTGGTTTTCTGATCCACACCCCTACCTTATTTTAAAGGTATCTCTGACCAACAGATACATATCTGTATTCCCAGTCATGTGAAATCCATAGATTAGGGGCTAATTAATGTATTTCAATTGACTGATTTCCTTATATTAACTGTAATTCAGTAAAATCTTTGAAATTGTTGCATGTTGCGTTTCTATTTTTGCTCAGTATATTTACCAAGAGAGTTTTCATCTATATTTTTCGGTCTATTTACCACCACAAACCGATGCTGGCACTAAGACCGCACTCAAAGACCTGTATAGGGCCATAAGCAAACAAGAAAATGCACATTCAGAGGCGGCGTTTCTCGTGGCCGGTAATTTAATGCAGGGAAACTGAAATCTGTTTTACCTCATTTTTACCAGCATGTCACCTGTACAACTAGAGGTGACAAAACTCTAGATCACCTTTATCCACACACAGAAACACATACAAGGCCCTTCCTCGCCCTCCCTTTGGCAAATCACACCATAACTCTATCCTCCTGCTTCCTGCTTACAAGCAAAAACTCAAACAGGAAGTACCAGTGACGCGCTCTATACGGAAGTGGTCAGATGAAGCGGATGCTAAGCTACAGGACTGTTTTGATAGCACAGACTGGAATATATTCTGCGATTCATCCGATAACATTAAGGAGTTTACCACATCAGTCACCTGCTTCATTAATAAGTGAATCGACGATGTCGTCCCCACAGTGACCGTACGTACATATCCCAACCAGAAGCCATGGATTACAGGCAACATCTGCACTGAGCTAAAGGCTACAGCTGCCGCTTTCAAGGTGCGAGACAGTAATCTGGACGCTTATAAGAAATCCCGCTACGACCTCCGAGCCATCAAACAGTGTCAATATAGGGCTAAGATCGAATCCTATTACGCCAGCTCTGATGCTTGACGGATGTGGAAGGGCTTACAAACTATCACGGATTACAAAGGGAAACCCAGTGACGTGAGCCTACCAGATGAACTAAATGCCTTCTATGCTTGTTTCGCAGCAAGCAACACTGAACCATGCATGAGAGCACCAGTTGTTCTGGAAAACTGTGTGAATCTCACTCGCCGTAGCCGATGTGAGTAAGACCTTTAAACAGGTTAAAATTTGCAAAGGCCGAGGGGCCAGACGGAATACCAGAGTACTCAGAGCATGCGCTGACCAGCTGGCAAGTGTCTTCACTGACATTTTCAACATGTCCCTAACCCGGTCTGTAATACCAACTTGTTTTAATCAGACCACCATAGTCCCTGTGCCCAAGAACACCAAGGTAACCTCCCTAAATGACTATCGCCCCATAGCACTCACATCTGTAGCCATAAAATGCTTTGAAAGGCTGGTCATGGCTCACATCAACACCATCAACCCAGGCACCCTGGACCTATTCCAATTCGCTAAACGAACACCTACCTGGACAAGAGGAATACCTATGTAATAATGCTGTTCATTGACTATAGCTCAGCATTCAACACCATAGTCCCCTCCAAGCTCATCATTAAGCTCAGGACCCTGGGACTGAACACCTCCCTCTGCAACTGGATCCTGGACTTCCTGATGGGCCGACCCCAGGTGGTGAGGGTAGGCAACACATCCGCCAAGCTGACCATCAACACAGGGGTCCCTCAGGGCTGTGTCCCCTCCTGTGTACACGTTTGCTGACGACACGACGGTGGTAGGACTAATCACTGACGACGATGAGGCAGCCTATAGGGAGGAGGTCAGAGACCTGGCAATGTGGTGCCAGGACAACAACCTCTCCCTCAACGTCAGCAAGACAAAAGAGCTGATCGTGGACTACAGGTAATGGATGGGGCTGTAGTGGAGCCGGTCAAGAGCTTCAAGTTCCTCGGTGTCCACATCAGTGAGGAATTACACACCAGGTCACACACACACCAACACAGTTGTGAAGAGTGCAAGACAACACCTCTTCCCTCTCAGGAGACTGAAAAGATTTGGCATGGGCCCTCAGATCCTCAAAGAGTTCTACAGCTGCACCATTGACAGCATCTTGACTGGCTGCATCACCGCTTGGTATGGCAACTGCTTGGCATCCG